AGAAAGGAGGTTAGGGCTTGGTCTCTCTGCTTCCAAAATGGTCACTTGCAAGCTGCACTCTGGGGAGGGGAGGGCGTCACGTACTAGTGGGAGAAGGGCTGGGAGGGAGAGCCATGTCCACATGGGTTCATAAGGGAGGAGAGCTCTCATGACCAAACACCATCTACTCATGCTGCTGCAGTGAGAATTAAGTTGCCAACATGTGAGTATTGGGGTGGGGGGGGCACATTCAGACCACAGCATCAACCAAATAAGGCATTGCTTACAGTATTTTGCCCTTGGCTGAAATTCCTTTGCAAGAGGCCTGACTTTGCTGAGTCACCCATCTGGGGTCTCTCATCAGGCCCTGTCTGATGCTGGGCTTCCCTTGGGTATTTCCGGAAGGATTCCCACGCAGACTTACGGGGTGTGCTCGCTCGCCCACGCTTCATGTGCTAATCCCGTGCTCCCCTGATGAAAGATAGCATCTATCAAACTAGCAATGCAGCGATTCTCTCACTGAGTGGTAACTGAGTGACTCTCTGTGGCAGGTGCTGGGATAGACTGGTAAGCCACTCAGATGCACCTGCACTCACTTCTCACCGTCTAGAGGGAGACAGGACAAGCGAACACACAAGTACAAGTCGAGATAAGGTTCCAACAGAATGCAGAAGGGTACAGGCAGAAAAGCGTCTCACGTGTCTGCCACCAGTTAGGGAAGGCAGCCAGTGAGTGACAGCTCAGCGTGGCCCTCCAGGGCCAGTGGAATGGGCTGAGCAGGACTTGGTTCCCAGAATTTATGCAGTCATTTAAAACTGGAGGTCTTGTGCTAATGGATGATAGATTTGTTTCATGGGTTAGGCGTGGGGACTTAATCTAATCACGACCTTGGGTAGGTGGGAGGTCTTCAGGTCGCTGAGGGCTTGTCCTTGGAAGGTGGTCCTATAGGTGGGGCTGTTTATGAGAGCTGCCCAGCTCTCGTGTTTCTCTTTCTGCTTCCCGGCTCAACTTCTGACCGTTCCTCTGCACTTGCTCCCCCACTGCTGGCTTCTATGAGACACAGAGGAAGGCAGTGCCAAGTCTTGAACTGTGAACTTGCAAACTGAGAGCCACAAGAACACTTTTCACGTAGCGCTTGTCAGGTGTTGAAGTAGCAACGGGCTGACTCCTACAGAAACTTAGCACCAGAGAAGTGAGGGTCGTCTCTGTTAACCACAGCGGATGTGTCAGACACCTGGGGCTGATTTCCTGTGGAAGGCTGGAAGAGCCTGGAGGCGCAGGCTAGGGAAAGTCTGGGAAGTTATGGGTGATTCTGATGAGGGCTCGAAGATGGGAATGCTCACAGAAGTGGGGACAGGAGAGGCCTTGCTGGTGAGGCTGCAGATGCAAACGTGGATCTACCGGGAACCGGACCAAAGGCCACCCTGGCTGCACCGTGGTAGGGAATCTGGCTGTAGTTAGTGTCCCTGTTCTGAGGCTTTGTGGAGGCTGAACATAAAGTTGTGGTCTGGTTTGTCTGGCAAAGGATATTTCAAGGCTGCAAAGTGTCCAGGCTACAGCCTGGGTGTTCTTGGCCACTGCTAGCAAGGTTCACAGTGAGTATCAGGAGCAGAAGGGAACAGAGCAGGAAAAATATGGAGAATTCTGCCAGGCCAGGGAAGGCAGGTAGGAAGGGTGTCCTCTGGACCGAATGCAGAGATTATTTATTTATTTATTTTTAATTAGGGGAATAGAAGGAGGCAGGGGAAAGAGAGAAATCTTCCATCCATTGATGCAGTCTCCAAAGGCCCACAATAGCCAGGGGAAGTCCAGGTAAACTCCAGGAGCCACCAATTCAGTGAGGCCTCCCCGGGGCGTGGCTAGGACTCCAGTGTTGAGCAAACATCTGTGCTTTCCAAGGTGCGCGTCGCCGGGAAGTTGAAAAGTAACAGGAGAGCAGGGACTGATATGGAAGGCAGGTATGCCAAGAGGGCACCTGCCCACTTAGCCCAGTGCCACCCGCACACACCAGGAATCCTTTGCTAAAGAGATTAGTTCAGATAACACGTCCAAAAGCACCTTCCACAATGCCCCTCCCATCACAGGCCCAGAAGGGCTCAGAAGGGCGGAATTGCTTCCAGAAAGCACAGGGCCAGCCCTGGATTCTCTCTTGCTGGCAAAGTTCTCAGAGCCCACTCTGCAGCTTTGACTCAAGTGGGCCCAGTTATGGCTCCTGCTGGCAGCAAACCTTGGCCTGGTCCACATGATGCTGACTTTGTAGGCATGAAGATTGCAAGAGTTACGGCATCATGTGGTTTCTACCTGGATTTCCAAGGAAGGCCTGAGAGGCCACACAAAGTTGTGTGCAGGCGTGGATCCCCTACAGAGTGATGTGCAGGAAGGCTGTGAGAGTGGAACTATAGAGGAAACCCCAGACAAACAGAGGTGCCAGCAACGTGAGCCATGCACCCAGGAAACAGCAAGCAGCAGGCCGGGCAAGCCCCGGACCTCAGCATGCAACATTAAGGGGCAGCGTGTGGGCAGCGATCAGTGGAGCCATGGAGGCCTCCACCTGGAAGTCAAAGAACGTTCTGGACACGTCAGGGGTCCAGACAGAGATTGGCTGCAGGAAGGGAGTCACTGCAAATAAGACAATGCAACGTGGGATTGCGGGTTTGGAGCTGTAGCAGAGTCCCCCTGGGGCAACGTCTAGTGGAGCTGCAGAGACGACTCTACCCTGTGGGAGGTGAAGCACGGGCTGTGACCAGCACAGCCACAGGAAGGAGGCAGCTCAGGCCAGCGGGGGCCCAGCCTCCACCATGGAGGGCCCAGGAGGCCGCACATGGAACGTTAGAACTTACGATGGCTCAAGCCCCGGTCACCCACACGGGAGATCTGGGTTGAGTTCCTGGCTCCTGGCTTCAGATCACTCAGCCCTGGATGTCGCCAACATTTGGGGAGTGTACAGAAGATCTTTATCTTTCTCTCTCTGTCGCTATGTCTTCGGAATTAATAAAAATGAATGAACAACCATAAAAAAAATGTATGTTACTTGGAAAGACTTTCACCAATTAATAAACTTTTTAAAAATATCGGAAATGCATATGTTTCTAGTCTTTCATCAGCTGCACACTTCGGATTTTATGACAGATATTTTGTATAGTAGTCATTGTCCAAGATATTTAACTTATTAGAAATTCACTGGGTGCGATTTTTACCCCAAGCTAATATTTCAAAATCAACAGGTTTAGTTTGTGTCTCTGTGAACATGCATAATTGAGTTTTGTTTATACAATTACTAAGACTTTCTCTAGCATGAAATATTACTCAGAGTTTCAGAATTAGAATTTCATATTAATACATTATTTTCAACATTGCCTTGTTAAGTTCTCCCACATAAATCATTTAAGAGTTCTCTTCTCCTCCATGATTTAACACGCCCAGTGAGAAATCCACATATGCAGGCACAACTCATTTATTAGCCACACAGACGGAAATCGAGTCAGACAAAGAGATTTGCTGCTCATCCCACACTCATTACACCTGCTGAGTGTAGGAAACATACAGAACTTTTCCTGTCTGGTAAAATTATAAGAGTATAAGGACTATACTACGTCAAGAAAACAATATTTATTGTATTCTATGAAGAGTGTTCATAAATCTGAAATCTTTCTCTAATGATTTTGCTACAATATCTGGAGGCATGAAGAATATACAATTTTTAAAAGATTTATTTATTTATTTGAAAGCCAGAGTAACACAGGAGAGGCAGAGAGAGAGAGAGAGGTCTTCCATCCGCTGGTTCACTCTCCAATTGGCCACAATGGCCAGAGCTGTGCCAATCCAAAGCCAGGAGCCAGGAGCCTCCTCTGGGTCTCCCACATGGGTGCAGAGGCCTAAGGACTTGGGCCATCTTCTACTGCCTTCCCAGGCCATAGCAGGGAGCCGGATCCGAAGTGGAGCAGCGGGGTCTCGAACCGACGTCCATGTGGGATGCCGGCACTGCAGAAGTCAGCTTTACCGCTATGCCACCACACCGGCCCCAGAATATACAATTTTATGTCCTGTTGCTAAAGGAACTATTTTATAATATATATTTGTTTAGTGAGATTGTGGGGAGCAACCCGGACTGGACTGAGTTACTGGAATTAAGACTTATTCTATGCATCTGCTCTCCCACAATATGGCGCTGAGAAGGGAGAAACAGCCTCTACACAGCTGCCTCCAGTTCAACCAATAAACTGTGGGACCTGCTCCTGATTGGAGGAGAGCAGCGTACTCGGCGTGTGGGTAGCAGAGTTGGGATTGGTGGAAGAGGACTATAAAGGAGGAGAGAGACAACATGCACCAGGAACATCTATCTGAAGGAACACCTGTGCAGCCCCCGAGAGAGCTGGCCGGCGGTGTGCCGCTCCCCCGCGGAAGTGGGGAAAGTGGCAGGGGGAACCGCCCTTCCACGGAGGTGGAAGGGACGGTAGCCAACCCGGGAAGAACCAGCAGCAAACCCGGGGAGGGCCGAGCAGACGAAAGAACAGCGCAGGGTCCTGTGTCGTTCCTCCACGAAGACGGGGAGCGACATGAGATGATACATGATATAATGATAATACAGTGATGATAATACAGTGGTGGTGTTTCACTGGCAGTTAAGATACTTCTGTCCCACACAGGAGCTCCCAAATCTAGTCCCAGCTCCGACATGACTTCAGTTTTATGCTAATGCAGACCCTGGGAGGCAGCAGTGGGGGCTCAAGTAGTCAGTCCTTGGCATCCACCTGGGCGACCTGGGCCGACTTCCTGGTTCCCAGCCTCAGCCTGCCCCAGCCTGGCTGTTGTGGGCATTTGAGGAATAATCCAGTGGATGGGGACTCTGTCTCTTTTCTGTATCTTTTGGTGTATGTTTTGCTTCTCAAAAAAACAAAATTAAATTTTTTAAAAGTCAAGCTTAATAATGATTAATATATGATTTGAAATTAGTTATTCATTCTGAAGCGATTTTTAATGATGGAAATGTTTTTAGAAAATAATTCGGTGAATCTCTTTACCTGGCCGAACTTGGCAGCCACGTGGAGGGGTGTGCAGTGCTGGTCATCCACTGTGTGGAGGTCACCACCGTGCTCCAGGATCAGCGAAGCCACCTCCTTGTAGCCACTGGCACAGGCCATGTGCAGCTGCAATGCAGAGAAACCTGGTGACTGAACCTTAGATGCAGCAGTGGCATCCGTGCAGTTCACTCAGTGACTTAAGAGAGCTACCAAGAAAAACACTGGACCTAGAGGAAAGAAACCATAAGACAAAAGGCTGGAATGCAGTTTTATCTACTTGGTACAAGTGGGTATCATTACCTTTTATGAAAGAAATGTGGTTTATTGCTTTCCTTCTGTTTCTTATACTGTGAATTTTTCATGTAACTCCTACCCATTCCTTTCCACTATAATTGACTGTTAAAATGGAAAATGTAACAATCCATTAGTTTTCCATTCTTTGCCCAAAGGTCAAAAGTACCGACTGGCTATAATCTTCCAGACACTGTGCATGCTGTTGTGGGATAGAAATTGAAAGATAAAGGCAGGACATGTGTCTGTACATGCCAAAGATACAGGACCGTTAGGATTAGTTCATCCCGGATGGCTCTAAAAGGATCATGCAGTCACCATGTAACACTCCCAGTCCACTTTCTAGTGGAATCCAGTGAGGCCTGAGGAACCATATGATGAGGTCAGGGTTTCGAGAAGTTTTCATATTGGGAAATTCTTCGTTTCTGAGTAAGCTATCATCACAGCCAACCCTAAGTTACCAAGCATCTGCACCGTTTATTTCATGAACATAAAAATAATAAGAAACTATCAGGAAAGGAAAAAGAAAAAATGAAGTTGTAAAATCAAAGAAATCGTCTAGGTTTGAGGCATGGAATTTTTTGGCTCTCTTTCTTGCTGTCTTCGTTGCAAAGCTAAAGTCATAGTAAATTTTAAAAGGCTGATTAAATGTACATATTCTGATAAAATTGAGCATAAATGTGCTTTTCTACCTTCAGACTTCATTATGTTATACAATCTACAGTGTTTGCTTACATATTTATCACACTCTCAACAACCTTAGGACAATAGATCCATATAATTGAGGGCATATGTCGCTCCCCCTCTTCGTGGAGGAACGACACTGAACCCTGCGCTGTTCTTTCGTCTGCTCGGCCCTCCCCGGGTTTGCTGCTGGTTCTTCCCGGGTTGGCTACTGTCCCTTCCACCTCCGTGGAAGGGCGGTTCCCCCTGGCCACTTTCCCCACTTCCGCAGGGGAGTGGCACACCGCCGGCCGGCTCTCTCGGGGGCTGCACAGGTGTTCCCCTTAGATGTTCCCCTTAGATGTTCCTCGTGCATGCCGTCTCTCTCCTCCTTTATAGTCCTCCTCTGCCAATCCCAACTCGGCTGCCCACACGCCGAGTACGCTGCTCTCTTCCAATCAGGAGCAAGTCCTACAGTTTATTGGCTGAACTGGAGGCAGCTGTGTAGAAGCTGTTTTCTTCTCTCCCAGCGCCATATTGTGGGAGAGCAGATGCATAGAATAAGTCTTAATTCCAGTAACTTAGTCTAGTCCGAGTTGCTCCCCACAGATCCCCCTTTCTTTTTATTTTTTGGCGTTGATACGCACCTGTCTTCGGTGTCCCGCGGCACACACTCTGCTCTACTTGCTAGAGTTGCCACAGGTTCTTACAAGTCCTATCAATCAGGCAAACCGAATCCGGGTCCTCTCTTCGCCATGTTGTGAGGAGGTTTTTAGGCGCTGATGCGTGTCTGTCTTCGGTCACCTGCGGCTCATACTCTGGTCGAGCCGCCTGCTGGTGCTTACCGCCTTACTAATCAGGCAGACCGAATCCAAGCCTTCTCATTGCCATATTGTGGGGAGGCCTATTGGTGTTGATTCGTGCCTATCTTCGGTGACCTGCAGCTCATACTCTGGTCGAGCTGCCTGCTGGTGCTTACCGCCTTACTAATCAGGCAGACCGAATCCAAGCCTTCTCATTGCGGTATTGTGGGGAGACTATTGATGTTAATAACGTGCCTGTCTTCGGTGACCTGTGGCGCATAAGCTGCTAGCCGCCCGCAGGTGCTCATCGCCTCACTAATCAGGCAGACCGAATCCAAGCTCTCTCATTGCCATGTTGAGGGGAGGCTTTATTTTTCTCTATATCTCCGGGCATTCCTATCTCTCCCATTTTACGTCTACCAACATTCCTATTTCTTTTATTTTACTTCTAAAACTTCTGTTTCTCCTATCCCTGCGGCTTCCCGGCGCCTGCCCCGAGGCTGCTTCTCGGCGGCTTCCCGGCTCTGAGCCACTTCAGCTCGCGCCTCTCTCATCTGCGCGGCTTCCCGGCTTCGCACCTGCACCACGGCCTCGCACTAGCCCAGCGTTCCCTATCTACTTGAGCCCCGCACGCTCTGTCTGCACGCGGCAGCCTCCGCGAGTCACACAGCGTAGCTTATGTCTCCGCCACTAGCATTCAATCCAAGTTCCCCGGGCTAGTCTGGCGAATTCAACCCAGCTCACGTCTCCGCCCCACGATTTGGCTTCCCGTCCTTTGCTCCCCGGGCTAATCAGACGGATCCCAACCTGGCTTACGTTTCCGCTTCTGGTTTCAACTCTTCGGCCCCCATTCCCGGGCTAACTTGAGAATCCCAAAGTGGCTTTCGTCTCCGCCTCGGCCTGCCCCCCGCGGCTTCAATTTCCCTAACATTTTTCTCTACCCGGTATGTTTCCCCAAGCTTTCCTCCAACAATACTCCTCCCTCATTTCTCCTGGCCTCTCCCCACAGTCCGCATCTGAGTCTGTTTGTTCTAGCTTTCACTTTCGCTTTTGACCTTAGAGATTTCTCCCAGCTTCCCCCCGTAGTCCGTATCCGAGTCTATGCCTAGGCTTTCAATAGCTTTTTCTGGCACCTTTTTCGTTCGGCTTTTCCCTAGGCTGTTTGCTAGTCTCTCTCTCCGATATTTTCCCATTTCTTCCCGTTTCTTCCCTCCTAAGTTTCCTATCCGTCCTAGGTTTCCTATCCGAGTCACGGCACCATTATGTCGCTCCCCCTCTTCGTGGAGGAACGACACTAAGCCCTGCGCTGTTCTTTCGTCTGCTCGGCCCTCCCCGGGTTTGCTGCTGGTTCTTCCCGGGTTGGCTACTGTCCCTTCCACCTCCGTGGAAGGGCGGTTCCCCCTGGCCACTTTCCCCACTTCCGCGGGGGAGTGGCACACCGCCGGCCGGCTCTCTCGGGGGCTGCACAGGTGTTCCCCTTAGATGTTCCCCTTAGATGTTCCTGGTGCATGCCGTCTCTCTCCTCCTTTATAGTCCTCCTCTGCCAATCCCAACTCGGCTGCCCACACGCCGAGTACGCTGCTCTCTTCCAATCAGGAGCAAGTCCTACAGTTTATTGGCTGAACTGGAGGCAGCTGTGTAGAAGCTGTTTTCTTCTCTCCCAGCGCCATATTGTGGGAGAGCAGGTGCATAGAATAAGTCTTAATTCCAGTAACTTAGTCTAGTCCGAGTTGCTCCCCACAGCATATACCACAAGACACTAAGTGTCACATTCGCGTTCCCCTAGGTCGCTATATAAAGAATTCATCTCACAATAGTTGAATTCTAGGAAATACTCCCAAGGATGGCACCTACACTGTTATGTGATAAAATATATTTTTATATACTTGATGTTTTAGAGAAGTAAATTTTTACTTGCTTCCAGATTTATTCTACATGATGTGACTAATCAGTAAATGACTGGCAGGTTGCTCTGTGCCACATGCAATGATACGTGAATTTAAGAAGAGTTTCATTTCTAGTACGAAACCAGAGCTGTAAAACTGAAGCACGAATGCGGTGATTAGTTGGCAATGGATAGAAACAGGACCAAGTCTCCAATCCTAGTTGATTTGCTGGGCATCCAGCCAAGGTTGAGTTCCACCATTTGCAACCCAGCCCCGCCCTCAGACGGTCACCTCCCCCCCAGCTCAGGAGGAAACAGAAGCAGGAGAGCCCGGCTCACCAGGAAAGCTGTCCAAAGCATCAGCCACCAGCGACATCTGCAGAGGCCGGCAAACTGTGTTGCAGGTACCCTCGTCACAAAAGCAGCAAGGGGCTGGCACTGTGATGCAGTGGGCGGGGCTGCGGCCTGCAATGCCGGCATCCAATATGCTCCAGTTCATGCCCCAGCTGCTCCACTTCCAGTACAGCTCCCTGCTACTGTGTCTGGGAGAGCAGTGGAAGGCGGCCCAATGTTAGGGCCCCTACACCCATGTGGGAGACCTGGAAGAAGCTGCTGGCTCCAGGCTTCCTCTGGGGCCACTGTGGCCATTCGGGGAGTGGACCAGCAGATGGAAAATCTTTCTGTCCCCCTCTGTCTCTGTAGCTCTGATTTCCAAAATGTTTTCAATAAAAACAAACAAACAACAACAAAACTCTAAAGGAACATTTCAGCTTCATTATAAGAGATAACAATTTAAAAAAAAATCATCATAATCAAGTATCCACAGCAAAGAGCTTGTCCCTGGATTCCATTGACAGTTTTTTTTTTTTTTTTTGACAGGCAGAGTGGACAGTGAGAGAGAGAGAGAGACAGAGAGAAAGGTCTTCCTTTGCCGTTGGTTCACCCTCCAATGGCCGCCGCGGCCAGCGTACTGCGCTGATCTGAAGCCAGGAGCCAGGTGCTTCTCCTGGTCTCCCATGGGGTGCAGGGCCCAAGCACCTGGGCCATCTTCCACTGCAATCCCTGGCCACAGCAGAGAGCTGGCCTGGAAGAGGGGCAACCGGGACAGAATCCGGTGTGCCAGCACCACAGGCAGAGGATTAGCCTATTGAGCCACGGCGCCGGCCAGCAGTCAGTTTCTAAGGTCATAAAGCAAAGGAGCAGACATCACGGGGTATAGTTTCTCACCACTAAAGCCGATAAAACTTAGATTTTTTTTTTAATTGTGTTCTGAAATGGAACTTACAGTCTATCCCTTGTGCTGAGTGGCTGAAAGATGCCAGGTGCCCAGGTTTGACAGGAGGCATCACAGTGGTGTCTCAGCTTACTGCTCTCCTGCGGCCTCGAGGGTCTTGTGGGAAACACAGGGGAGGGTCTGGCTTCAGCCTGAGCTAGCAGCAGCCCATCTGGAAGCACAGCTCCAGGGAAAACTAGCGCAGTCTGGA